TTTTCTCTTAGTACCATAGGCTACTTAATGTCCTACATTTGGTTGGCAAATTAGGTCTGATAATAAGAGGGTTCTGTGGCATTCGTTCAAACCCTTCAGATTTAAATTGCAATGAGACAGTGAAAATATATTTAAAAATGCATTGTATTTTATCAAACACGGTGCTGTCTTTCGGTGATAATACTGAATAATAATACAATAATATGATAATAATGCAGTAAAACTGAATCTCTCAAAAAGCAGTTGACAAAATATTTTTAGCAGCAAGAAATCAAAGCCATTGTAAGGCTGTTATGGAAAACAAAGTTTATTTGTATGCAGTTATAAGTGCACAATTGGTTGAGGGGCTCACAATATCAGTGGTACACAATGTAACAGGAAAGTTAGAGATTTATTGGCAAGAGAGAGCGAGAAGAGAGTGAGGTCTGACAAGCACACGTAACGCAGTCAGGGTCCAGGCCAGATTACTAACAAGATTTCATTCAAACCAGTTGTAAAGAAAGACTTGTTTTGTTGTTTGATATACAGCATATACCTCAGCAACAAGTTGAAGATATTTTTCTACTGACTTGATATTTGAGATTTACTGACGTGAAAGTTGCTATAGCAAATATAAGGATTATTCTTATTATAATTATAAGAGAGAAAAAGAGAGAATTAAACTTCATTTAATAAATCACAACACAGAGAAAGAGAGAGAATGAAACATGTTTGCACTGTTATTAGCATAGCCTTTGTATTATGCACCAAAAGCCTTTAAATATTTAAGATGAGAAATCCCGTTCTGCAAATGATTGAGGTAATACAAGGGGAAATTGTCCCAAGACTGATTTGCACTATGCGTGACCCCTTCAATATTGAAAGGAATAAAAGCTTCAGTGCCTGAGTCCATCACAAGCCACCTTACCCGGAAACATATTAAGAGTATGTAATGGTTCATAAAATAGTTGTGCTGTAGTAAAGAAGAGTTTTTAGCATCAAATAAACACGATATTAACTATCCTATTTAAAATAGTTTCCCGTTTTCCGGTACGCTGCAGATTTTCTTTTGTATCAGTATGATGATAGATGCAACAAGTGGATAGAATTGGCATGAGACAGAGTGAAGTAAGTTTCCGAAATTATTTGTACCAATTCTCTCATCACTTCCTTGCTTGACATCATTGGCTGTTGCTGGGGTACAGTTCTGCTGTTGCCATCTGGCTCTTTACCCAAAGGGCATTCTTTGTTTGTGACCCAACTCCGTGAGTGGTGTCAAGCTGTTCAACGTTGGGGGGCACCACAGCCACGCCAATCCTGATCTAACCACATAAACATTCCAACAGAGCTCATTAGATACCACTCTGTTCCCCTCTCCTTTTGGTGGTCAATTATAGTTGCACTTCTATTCTCTCTTGACTGAGATCAACTTACTCCCTATGGACTGGGAATCAAACCTATAACTTTCTGGTATGTATTGCTCAGCTGGATAAAGTCATACAGTCATACAGTCCTCTATCTTGTCAGAGGGGAGGTGTTACTATCAATACCATTAATACACTCAATGTGATTAAGAAATCTTGTCTAATGCAAGTATTTCATTTCAATATAAACTATTATTTAATTGTCAGGTTTGGGTACTTCACATTTTGTTTTTAAATGGACCCGTATTTTCATTAAACAGTGAGGTTTGCACTAACATACCCACAAAACATTCAGGAAATTGCCTCAAATGCTAAATATCACATGATAGAAGCTTTATGACTCCTCGGGCTCTTTATGACAGTATCTCTTTTAATACAAACTGAATTGTGACTCCATGCAGTATTTGAATTCTACTATAGGTTATCTTTTGTATTACATTTGGAGTAAATGGTTACTGTGGGAACCTGTTAAAATTCAGACTGGAACTGTCTCCTCTTTATTGTACACTTCATAGTGGATAAGCTTCCAACTTGGTACTGTGCATAACTAGACAGAACCTAGATTGCTTTAAAAGTGCCTTGTGCAGATCTGAGTTTTTGATCCTGTGAAATGCTGCACAGTCTCTTTAAACAAATAGCTGAGCACATACAAATCTCCTGCCCTGTAAAGATGCTTTCATTTAGAAAGTGCCGCTTTATATCTGCAATAATAGGACCTTTTAGAACAGATTAAGCAAAGAAGTATGACATCATATTGCATAGTGTGGATGTTAATGAAATATGAGAGGTCAAACTGGTCTGTTTGGTCGAACAATTAAAAGATTAACAAGAGGTAAACTCAGAATAAGGATGTTGATTTGTGCTGCATACATGATCTAGCAGAATTCTGCATAAATGTTAAAACTATTGGGAAGATCAGCAATCTTGCAGCAATTGCATGATTTGCAAAAGGAATTTTAATAACAAATTCCAGATATGTCCCAGGGTGTCCCTCTGAAATTCCACTCAGATGCCAAACTAAGTTTCAACTTCTGTGAAGTTGGGTGTCTGTCTGAGCAGAGTTCCAGAGAATCGTCTAAAATATGCTAGTTATGAATGCTTTTGCCATTCACTTTATTAGACTCTGGCACAGTAAGTCTACACTGGTAAATGGTTTAACTGCAGACAGTGCTGCAAAGATTTTTCAGATTTGAAGATCTAACTTATAATTACAAAACAAATACAATACAAATTTAGATTTATATATCACTTTTCGTGGGAGGATGTCTGAAGGCGCTTAACAATCCTGGTTTGGCCCACGAGTTGGGGATGGGAGCCGAGAGGGGAGGGGAAAGATGACTGAAAGCACGTCTGTTCTAATGGGGGTGGGGGAGAAACAAATGAATGTCTTGCAGCGAGAACAGATGAGTGATAGCAAATGTGGTTAGACTGTAGATCAGCTCAGCTTGTATAGAAACATAGACATTTCAGTCACAGAAAGGGGCAATTTGACTCATTGTGTCTTTGCACTGTTACTATTTTTCTAAATCACCTTTTTAATAATCCCACATTCTGGCTCTCTCCCCTAATGCTTTCTTAATCATTAAAGATACAAGGGTAAGACCTTGGAACTCAAATGTTAAAGTGAAAACATTAAAGAATAATGATTAGGTGCACGTCTAAATTAACTTTCACTCTGTCTCTGTAATATAAAGTAGTACAGTACAAATTTATATAATTTTATATTCATATTATTTACATATTTAATATAGAAATAATTCATATAGCGTTTTTAGCATCCCGAGGGACTGGACAGTCTACGATTTGTGCATGAGTTGGGGTGGGGGTCAAGAGGGTTGCTATTGAACAAGTGCTTTCTCTCAAAACACTTTACATTATGGAATAAAACAAGAATGTAGGCTTTTGCTTTGATTATGACTGAACGTTCCATTTAACTATAGTTTGCATATAAGTAATAATAATCCTTCCATTTGATATAGCACTTTTCACATTGTGGGGACGTCTCAGTGCTTCACAGGATTTAATGTAATTTGTAGGTGAATGCAGCAGCTAATTTAGGCATAGCCCCATAATATATGAATGGTAGATCACAGTCCAGACCTAGACCATCTTTTTGGCCAACGAGTGTATTCTATAGCGTCTTCGTAAATATAAAGCTTTCGTAGTCTTAATATTGCATTTTCCACTTACAGATACTTTCACATTTGATTTGGTTTGCACATCATCCAGGACTCATCACTACATATTCTTAAAGCACTATTTCCATTGATGCTTTGAACATTGAAATGTGTTCAGTGAGCTTACATTAACCTTTGGAGCACAATGCAGACACAATGAGAACCCGTTTCTGAGCAGACCAGTTCTGTTCATTTTCAACTTGTGCGCTGTGATGCTGAAAAATATAATACAGTATTAATCCTTCTCAGTAAGAGACCAACCACAAGTTAGTACTACTAATAATAAATTATTGTTAATAAAGCTTCAAAATCATCGGAGTACTTTTGTTATAATAATTCTAAACTAACATTAAATATAACAACACGTTTTTAAACAAAAACACATTTTAAAATATTCACCTGCTCTTGTCCTTTTTTCTTTATTTTCTTCTTTATTTTCTTTACGCTAAATCCCTTTTGAATTTTATTTTTGATTATTTTTCACCTTCCTCTGGCTTCTCTTTTGACCCACTTCTATCATTAAAGGCTGATTCCTAACTTTCAGTTCCCAGAGACCACTTTGGAATATGGGAGCAATGTATTTGTATGTGGGGGTGAGATACCAGAGAGAGCTCTTTCGTCCCTACCCCAGTAAAAAGAAAACAGGGAGGAAAAAAATGCCTTTGGGGAAGAGGACAAAAATTGGAGGACAAATATTGCTAGGAAAATAAAGTAGTGGCTCTGCTTCCTCCAAGGTGTTCTTTCATTCCACCTCCATACAGAATAGAAATCCAAGACAACTGCTAAAGAGATTGGGAAGGTCCTGCTGGCAATCCCCTTCTGCCAGGCAGTCGTTTGCTACCGAGCAGTAGTACTGAGTCAGAAAAGGTGGAAATTGCCCTATAGGCATGGCAACGGATGAAGTACTATTACCTGGCACAAAGCCTATTTAAGGTAGCACAAGTTGCTGGAAATCCAGTGCGTCTTTTACAAGGATTTTCCGAACAAATAAAATATAGAAACGTTACATCCAGATATTAGGAATTTTACCCTTTAAGACCATTTATATTTTGAGCGTAAATAATACAATTTATATCATCTAGCAACATATATAATAAATTATTGATACACTTTCCAGTACCCCAAAGGATACTCTATTTTATATAATGTGAATTAATTGTAAAACCAGAGGTAGTTTTCTGTTATCTAATGTAACTATGTGAAGCAAATGATAAATTCCTGAATGAGTTCTGGTGAAGGAGAACATCAAATATTTAAAATCACATTTGGTTCAGAATGAACTGCAAAACTGTTGACTTGACACACAGTGTCTTGGTGTGGAAATAGCATAATGTAAGCAACAAAGAGGCAGATTGCATGGAACATTCTAATGGAGCAATCGAGAAAAGTAACACTTATAATTCATTATTACTTTTTCCAGTCCTTATCAAAATCCTTCTTCAATCTGAGGGACATCGGATTTGCCAGTGTAAAGATCATCAGGGCAGAAGGGTTAATGGTGGCCGATGTCATAGGTAAGGAAATACTGTTTAATCTTTCTCTATATAACAACTGTGTTTATCTCTTCAATGTATTGCTTCTGTCTATTATTTAGGCTCCACGCGATAGGTAACTTTTATCTTTTATTGCTTAAAAGCATTCACTTATATTTCAAGTTACACGGTAACTTAATCTTAATAAACATTTTTAAAAATTGTTTTAACATACATAGGTGCTTAAATAGGAAGGTTTTGTAAATTTTCAATAACACAGTTTGGTAACCTCTGCATTATTTGCAGTTTTGTGTGAATTTTTTTATTAAATTACCTGGGATTTGTTTTTTCCTTTTTTTAAATCCCTCTTCTTAAACCTTTTGGGGTTTTGTTAATAACTTGTTCAGAAATAATCGCACTGTCCTTCTTTGAATTGCTGTAATTATTTAGCAACCATGTATCTTTCCAAAGTGATTTCAGTGATACTCTGGTGATCTCATTATAGGTGGGCCAAGTCAGCTGGAATGCACAAAGATCCAGCTGGCTCACTTTGAATTTGCGAAACTGATCTGTTTAGAAATGGGATATAGCCAATTGAAGACAGAAGCTTTGGCAGTGTTGACTTTTATGGAATAGGATCAGCAGTGGGCAAAGACATCTGGGTTTAAACCAAAATCCGTGGACGGACATTGAAAGAATTGTGGCTTGTGCAACTGCACCTCTCCCCATTCCCTCTAAGGCATTCAGTGCTTCACCCTAACTGTTGTTTTTATTTGGCAAAAGTTTGTATTAATAATAGTATATTAATATAGATAGTGAGCTTCAGTAAAAGTAAATCTAACAACATAAAATCAGTGTTAACATACAGTATTTTTTTCATACAAGCGTATTGCTGTTAAGAGTAAAATTTAATTGATATTATAATGGCTCCACTTCCCCGATCTGATTAAAACAAATCATTTTTAAAAAGATATTGCTGAATTGGTAGCATAGGGTTTTTCAATTCTAACAGGTAACGTGTTTATTAAATTAAAACTCAGTGTTTAAAACTTAAAAATCCTGAATTTAGACCTTTTAATTTATTGCCAAAGTACGTTTGCCATCCTTATTGTTGATTTTGGTCAAAGGGTCACTTTTTGGGAGCTCCCTCCTACACAGAAAAATTATTATAACAATAATATTAATCTAATAATATTATAATATAATAATATTCCTTGCATTTTATATAGTGCCTTATTATGTCATTGATACGTCTCAAAGCATTGCTGTATATTTTGTGGGCAAAACGTAGCAGCAAATTGCTCACAGCAGTATCCCACAAACAATCATGGATTGAGTGACCAAATTATTTTTTGGAAGGTATTATTACCCCCAGAAAGTGAACGGTTTTCTAAATTAATAAGTAAATTCTACCTGGGTTTCTATTTACTCTATTTATGTAGCATTACAGAGCATCCAGAGTTTGGCAAATTGTTGAATTCAGGCTTAACTTTGAAGCCAGCTTTCTGTAGTTCTTAAAAGAACTTGGAGAAAATCAGCTCCAAAATTAAGGCTATGTTTAAGAATTAGCCAAACTTTGGACCCTCTGGAAGACTGAAATGGAACTTCTCCCTACAGTGTCTTATTCCTGTAATTGTTTGTACATTGTTTTACAATTACCTAATCCTATAACTGGGTCACCAGGTCACACAAAGCATACAGAATGTACAAATAAAACAAATGCAGGTTAGCCAATATCAGTTATTTAAACAGTGGAAACTAAATTTTACTCTATGAGGAAAAACTATTAAGTGTATAATAAACAGTGAATATAGAATTTTATGGCTATTCATTTTCAGATTATTTCTCAACGTAGAAACAATGTCACAATCATTCAATCTCTTGTGTAGATGTCATCACATATGAAGGGCACAGAACAAACTGAGATCCAAAGCTGACAGAAACCTGATCAAAACTGAATTAAAAAGCCTGTGTAAAATCAAAATTAATAGATACCAGAGAGAGATTTCACGGCAGTAAACTTATCTGGGGTTGAAATGGCAATGGTAAACTGCTGTCATTTTGCTGTTGTGCTTTATGACGTTTGATTAAACTGCTGCTTTTTAACATTTCCACTATTCTTTACATACTGGTCGAACTTGAACTATATTATAGATTTTTCATAGGTGCATATCATGTAATTAATATCAGATCACGCAGCAAAAAGTATCTGATATGAGGTTACTTTATGGAGGTCTGGCTCTGTAAAGTAGCACAATACAAATCATATAAAATATTCTGATTCTATCATTTTATTAAAGAATTCAATATGTAGAATTTGATTGGATTCTGGGCATATTTAGTATCTCTCCTTGGGAGGAATATTTTATTATTATAATGTTTTTCATGCATAGTTAGGAGAGAAAAATGCAAACCTTGAATATAAAAATATATATTTTAAAATTGTGTGTATGTGATTGAAAAATAATTACTCTACAATGTATTGTTTTCAAATGAAAGCAAAAAATGCAATACATTTAGGTAGTACAAGACAACATTGTTATAACGCAATCGTCTGGGTCCATTGTCTCAAGCTCCTCATTGTGATAAAGTGTGGAAAAATGGCCAAATTCTGAGTCCTCAGATGACTACTGCCCATTGAGCAAGTGCGTGCTGATGTCATGCGATTAAAAAAAGGCTGACTTTCTGCTATCAAATCACTGCTGATGACACTTCCTGCCGGTTGAGCGCAATACTTGCTGGTTTCCTACACTAAAAATGGCCGAAGTCCAGGTCATTAAGTCACTGGTGATGTCACTTTTTGCTTGTTGAGCACATTGATACTGACTCTCAGATGGTCAGGGCACTGCTGACTTCACTTCCTTACTCTATGTCAGGGAGCCCTATACAAGATAAAGATAATATCCATATTTTAAGGCAATACAGAAAAGACAATATTCAACAACATTAGTCATAAAGAACAAGACATTGAATTAGGTTAAGAGCAAGACACTGTGCATTGTATTGCATCAAATCCATTGAAATAAAGCTATCGTGTGACAGAGAACATTGCCTACACTCCAAGCTACCATAAATCTTTCAGTAGTTACAAAAGATTGTTTTTCCTTTAACGAGAACTGCGTTCTGGAGCAGTAAACAGTCACTTAGAAATATTTGAATAGTACATTAACCCTTTCAAATTAAAAAGCAATTAGGAATGCTTTGGGTTCTTTTCTGAATGAGAGGGTTAAGAGAACAAATTACTTTTAGTGAAACTGTGAATTCCTTTCTTTTGCACAATGACTCATTGCCTTGTTCAGCTGAATGCCACCACAGTGTTTCCCCTCAATTAAGCTCCTCATAAAATGTTGAGTGGGGAGTATATTTTTTTCCTTTATGAATGGCTTAGTGTTGGATGCCGCATTTCAATCACTCGAGGTTATTAACAAGAAAAAAGGGATTAAGTGTTGTAGTTAATACCTCATTTAACAACTCCCACATATTGATTAAGTATAACTGCAGCATTCTTCAACAAGAAAGGGAAAGAGTGGGCTGAAATTTTATATAAATTAGTCAGTGCTATTCATCCTGGAGCTGGGCTAGCAGCCTTTTGGAGGGGGTCCTTTGCATGTTGAATGCTTATCATCGTTAATCAGATGGCTCTGAGACACTCGTGAGCAGCAGTGTAATAAACAGTGATACAAAACGTAACAGGGCCATTAGTAGAGCTGCTGAATTTGACCGGGTTAAGGTTGTCAGTTGGTCTGGAAAACAGCCTGTTTGGCTGTCTGTGGGCCTTAATTAAGATGTGTTCAATTCTGACTCCCCTGCTGTGTCACAGACCAGTGCTCAGACATTTTCAGCTGGTCCAGCCCATGACTTTGACCTTCTGCGCAGTCCGAAGTTCCCTGGGGAACCGTTCAGCTCATGAGGTCTGATTTCACACTTCTAGCCCGCCTCAGCTCTCTTAACAATGACAGGGAGACAAAGCTCTTTAGAGTATGGCGCATGGGGACTTGTTTAAATTGGAAACTAGAGAGGTGTCAAGGAACAAGGTTATGGGCTACAGAATAGCATTTTTAATAAAGAGCTCAGAGCTTTGAATCAGCTTAAAGGCTTGGTTTACCAATACAATTAACAGTGAGGGATGTTACCTTTCTGAATCTTTTATATTCCCATAACATATTTTATCTTTAAACAAGTAGGAAAGCTGAAAAAAATCAAATTGCATTTATTGTTTTGATAAATAATAAGTGCAGTAACTTTAGAAAGGTATGTCAATGATCTACAATTGTTGTTGACCATTTTAGCATTAACCATTCGATACATTTCACTTTACGTGAATATTAAATTAATTCTAATAACTGAATGTGATTACAAGTCAGCACTTAATGAAAGGGTTCAAAGAATGAAACTTGGTCAATTTAGAACTGCTTTCTAAACTTGTAAAATTACGTTATTACTCCAGAATATATTTTTTAAACAAAATATACTGTGGATATTATTGGAATTGTTTTATTTAATTTCAGAATATATGTTCCCTTCCAATTACTTTAAGGAATACAGATTAAGAAATTAGTTTCTTGTTGAGAGCTAAAACTCGGGGCTCCAGTTGAATGACAATATCACAGCTAACCCTTTAATACCCTTTTCCCTCCATCACACCGCATCCACAACATGAACATTTACTGGTCGGCGATGTTACCGACAATAATAATAATAATAACTTTGCTTTGCATCATGGTGAAAACCATTACTGAATAAAATGTTGTCTATCTGACGTGAAAGGCGCTCTATAAATGTAATTTTGTTGTTGTTGCTATTGTTGTTGCAGTTTTTTTATATTATAGTTTTTTTTGTATTTATTTGTACAGAAAGATTCAGGCTGATGAGCAATACAATATTTCAAAAGATTATTAAGAATATTACTATATTTAGCAAAAGAATAAAGAGGGAGATTGCTAATCAATATACAGTTACTACACTTGACAGAAAACTCTGAAGCGCTTTGAGATGTTATGATGTTATAAGGTGTTATATCAAACGCAAGTGCTATCAATAATAAGATTTATCTTTAGTTTTTACACAATACAATACAAAATTACATTTGTAAAGCACCTTTCACGTCGGGAGGGATGACGTCCCAAGATTTTAGAGAGCTTCAATCTCAATATCTTACAATAAATAATGATTTGAAAATGCAATGTAGTTTACATAGATTAAGAATGTTTAAGTGTAAGAAACCTTCAGCCCATTGTTACAGTATCATTTTTAACAAAAAATGGTTAAAGCTTTGGCTTTATTTTACTTTGTTGTGAAATGAGCATCCTAAACAATGAACTTAACTACTTAGAAGGCTGCCTTTAAATGTCATCGCTTTTGTGGGCCTGTAGGCTGTAGGATTGTCGAATGGAACTTGCTGTGTTGGCTGCAGAGATATCCTGTAAGAATGTCTCTGGACAACTAGTTTATCAAGGCTTTAAACTCACTTTGGTATGTTTCCTGTAGATATTTTGTGCTTGCTTGCCTGCCAGTACATTTTTAAACAGATTCATAAAGCAGAGGTGTAAAGAGTTTGGGCCTGAGATAGAGAAAATATGTTTGTAATCGGGTTAGTCGATCATGACAATTGTGCATGACAATTTCATGCAAAGCAAACCACAAGAGAACTTATTTTGATTCGCTCTTATATTGCACACCACAAAATAATCCTTTTAAAAATCCTAAGGTCAAAAATTATGTTTTATTCAATAACTAAATTGCATTTTTGAGAAACTAGATTATGTTTGTATAAAGATTATATGCACTTGATTTCACACAGATAGAGATATTTTTACTGATCTCTAATTTTTTTAGCCACTGTTTCTCCTCCCTTTCCTGAGTTTAGTTCCATATGGGTCAGCAATCCACTGGTATCTAATAATAATAATAATCCTTGAATTTATTATTTATTCATGTTGGGAAGACATCTTAAAGCACTGTAAAGTAGACTGTGTATTTTATATATGAATGCCTGAAATTGGAATACTTGTAAATATGAAAATCAGCTGCTCTGAATGGCAAACCAATAACCCCTTATACATATGCACATATGGACATCAAATGAACATAGGATCATCCCATCAGAGAACCTAGATAGTGGGCTCTGTCATATGCTGATTGGTAATAATAGTGATTTTATTACATCCTTATATACTGGGATTTCCTAATAAAGAGATTGAAAAGATTGTTATGTTTCAGTCTAAGTAGAGTATTTGATCATGGAGGATATTACAAGCAGGCATTATCCTGTTCTCACTTGATATCTGTGTATGCATTTGTATGGGTTACTATACAGCCATTGAGAGCGGCTGATTTTCTTATATTCCCAAATATTCCAAATGGTGCTTGGCTAAGATCACCTGATTCAGCACAGATCAAGAATTGAAATGCTGGCATCGTAATATACTGTGCAGTGATATTACTCACTAGACCTTTGGGAAAGCCATTTGGGCAGCTAGTTCTACATTTTCTCTACCCTTTGTGTAAGGAAATTCATCCAAAATTAAATAATGGATACCAGACAAGAATGATTCCAAAGCAATGTTGATATTCTTATAGTCAAATGTAATACTAACTCTAAAAGAACTTTTAAACCTTCACAGATTTTAGGTATGATATTCATGGTTATATAAAAGCATAGTTAGACCACTTTTGGAGTATGAGGTCCAATTCTAGTTGTTACACTACAAGGATATGGCAACAATGGAATGAGCACAATGTAGGTTTAGTTGGATGATACCAGGGCTGGTAGGTTACTGCTATCAGGATAGACTAGATATATTGGGCTTTTGTTCACCAGAGAAAAGACATTGAAAAGGGACCTAATAGAGATGTTTAAAATTATAAAAAGGCTTTGATAAGGTTAGCACAAATACGCAGTTCCCAGTTGTTGGTGACACAAGATGGAAACTAGGGGATCTAACTGAAAATTTTGGATGAACTACCTCACGCAGAGGGTAGAGAAAATGTAAAACTACCTACCTGAAGCAGTTGAAACAGGTAGTATAGATGCATTTAAAAGAAAGCTAAATATGCACATAAGAGAATAGAAGGGTATGGGAGGGAGTAAAGAATACCTAAAGACTTGTATGAAGTATAAACATGACACAGATTATTTGCTTTGTATGGCCTGTTTCTGTGCTGTGTATCTATGTACATATGTAAATCTATATAAATACTCCTATCTCACTTGATAAAATAGCATTATTTTTCTTTACATCCTGAGAATGGGAAATCCCATTAGTAATCAGCATGATTCATCAAATTGCTTTGGAAAAGCCTTAATAATAAAGCAATCTTTAATTTATTTTCCACATTACCTATATCCATGTTTTGTTCCCTTGTTTGTTTTTGTAAAGTGACTCAGCAGCTAGAAATGTCCTGGAGGAAAATATTGGGAATAAATTTCAAAGATGGCTATCTACTTAATAACAAAAGCTTGAAACGTACATAATACCATCGATATGTCAATGCACTGACCGTGCGTGTGTATTGGTTTCCAGTGAACTGGCCCAACAACTGCCTCTTAGTTCTGTGGCTAAAATGCATTGGTGACTGTTTATTCACAGAATTAATTTAGTTTGACCAAATGCTTCTAGGTGTATCTTTGTTTCTGCATCCCTTTGACAGAATTGACACATTTTCATGGTAGTCACTAAAAAGACCTGATTAGCTGCTCAGTATTCTCTAGCCTTATAAAAGGCTCTTTTGATCTCCTTAGTGAAAAGAGTCGCAATTACCTCAGGCATGCTGGTGGTAAGCCAGGCTCCATACTGAGGTATTTTCATGGTGTTGGGGGCCTATCCATTAAATCTGTTGGCAGTTCCTTATCATCAGGTTAAACCCCACAGAAATGTCATGATATCCTTAACCTGAGTGAGTCACACCAGCCACTTGCCCTTATCAAGGGCTCTGCAAGTGGGTATTCCAGTGAATGAGGCAGACTTCCCTCATAGAACAATATTGGGGTTGATGCTGCATTCCTAAAATAAACAGGTTTATATATTACTTTTGGTCCATTTTTTGTTGAAGAAACGCTCAAAGTCCAACAAAAAGTCGAAAGGCGAAACACAGCCACATAAATTGCCTTTGCCTTCCTTCAGGATTGTATGTTTTCTTGTGAGTAGTACAGGTTCAATCACAAACCTGAAGTAGAAATCAGCCTAGCAGTTTCCAGTTTGTGAATATCTGTCTCAAAGATGATACCATAAATACACCAGTCGGTTAAAATAAAAGTTGACATACAGAGACTGAATTTCAGAGAAATATATTGCGATGCATTGAACTCTCATTCCACTGTATGAAGTATAAAAAAGTTTGTTAAAAGGAAGTGGAAAATATGCTGCAGCTTTCCATTGGCTAATATGAAATGACAATTTCTACATGAAGGACAGTTAAACTAAGAGCCATGAATTCCGTGGCAGTGCAATGGATTACATAAGAAAGTACGTTGTAAGGTACTTTCTTATAAGTTGGGTTCGTTTGTAAGGCAGATTCCTTCTGTTCCTGCGTCTGCCGTGAACCAGCTGAATTTTTGCATGATTAAAGTGACCAGCTTCTGAGTTGTCAGGTCGCAGCCAACTTCACTTTTTTGTCCGCTTTGCAGATGTGTACTAAGTGCAGAATACCCTGTTATTGCCAACTTCCTGCGTGATATTAGCATGTAGCGACATCAGTGGTGACCTGAAGATGGAAGTTTGTATTGTTTTAGCATGAGAAGCCATCACATATGCACTCAATGGTCAAGAAGTAACATCAAAGCAACCTGGTGGCCTAGAAGTCAGCTATTTGTCTGCATTTCTTTATAGTTTGAGTTTTGATCACCATTTCACAAAACTGTGAGACAATATTTGCATTATGAAAAGAACTAATATTAATTAAATTATTACTCACAATGTAAAATGAGCAATGGAATAAGAGTAGAGAAACTTAAGCTTTAAAGTCTGCAAAAAAGGTATTTAAGTGGAACCTTATCAAAAGTATCAATAATTGACAATTTTTGACTTAAATTTTCTTTCATTTAGAAAAGCATTGTTCATGTTGTTTCTTTAGGGAGCAGTGACCCATTTTGTGTGATTGAACTGAACAACGACAGACTTCAGACGCATACAATCCATAGGAGTCTCAACCCGATATGGAATAAAGTCTTCACTTTGTGAGTATGAGCACACTGATCTCCTGCTAACTGAACCAAACATAATGAGAACATAGCTGCCTTTCCCAACCCAAAATCTTAGTTAAATCCAACAACAAGAATTTGCAGTTATATAGTGCCCTTCCCGCGGGATAGCCTCCCGGAGCCCTTGGGAAATCCAATAATGGTCCTTCAAACTACAGTACAGCAACAAACATGCTCTCCACCTGAACTACACTAAATCAATAAAGTCTAGTAGTTCAGATTAGGTCTCCAAAATTAACAGCTAACAAACAAGAGCTTTTTCAAATTCTATATTTCCAATTTATTGTATTCGCCTTTCCAACTACAAATCTTGAGGCAAGGAGGTAATGGTAATGTCAGTGTTGATGTGGCTGCTAGGGAGTGTTGATTTGCCCTCTGTCTTGCTCTCCCTCTTTTGGAAGGAAATCCCTGGCCTCTGTTTGGCACCTGACTCTGACAGCTCTGGGGAAGTTAAAAACTGCCTAGGCCATGGTCTATATTTTAACCAGCCTGTTAAAGCTCCATCTCACTGTGCTGCCTTGCTAGTAAAACTGCCTTCACTTTGAAGACAAATTTCACAGCTATACCCTATTCAACCGACATTTCTGACAAGAGATTTCAAATAGCTAATGGGCCTAGTTGTCAGTGAAATAATTCTGGTGAAGAAATCCCAAGCACAAAAAGGAAATTATGAAAACAGACATTTACAGTTTTGCAGTTTTGCTGAAGAAAATGTAATGTCAATCAAGTGACCCTTTCCTTCCCCACTACATATGACACCGTGTATATAAAACACAATTTGTGCTGCCTAAAATGGCAGAAAGAAGTGTGTAATGACTGCATTCCATTAGAAAAGGTCAAATTGTTCATCTCTTAAATTACACAGAGGAGATGGAGATCTTCTAATGTACAGACTGGCTAAATAGGGGTTACACTGTCAAGAGAGATGACTTCAACGGAAAGACATTCCATTTATTTAAGAGGTTCATATTTACTGTATTAACATTTAACATTATTTATATGTGTGCATCTTTTTTAGCTACGATGAATAAATCGTCACAAGAACTCTTGAATTACTAGTGATCTTTAAGAATAGCAAATACCTACAATGCATTGATGCTTCAGAGATATTGTTTAGGACCCACAGTTGGCTTCTGATGTGGACTGGCTGCCATTCAGGCTGCTACTTAATGGGTTGTCAGGTCACTGCCAACATCTCTTACTGTGCATGTTTGGCTCACAAAATATACAGTCAATTCACTTTACAGTATATTCTGGGAAGAGCTTTGAGACGTCTCAAAGACGTGATCAGACACTGTATCAAATGCAAAGAATATTATCAATATGGGTGCTATGTGCGGGAAGTACTGCTAACGTCAATCATTTTATATACAGATCCGTATTTGGTGGTGGTGGTAGGTAAATAGTGCTTCTCAAATAGTGCCATGGGATCTTTAATATCTTTAATGCCTACACCCAGCACTGCACTGGAGTGTCAGTAGAGACTATATGAGTTCAAGTACCGACATGGGACTTGAACCCACAATCTTTTGACTCAGAGACAAGAGTGCTACCACTGAGCCAGACTGACACATGCAATATAGTCTTCTCTATACTGTTATTTGGACCATTAGGCTAACTTTGAATCTAGGCTACTCCTGGAAGTACTGATCAGTGAATTTCTTGATATGCAATGTGCTACAACACATTTTTCTCCTATTTTTAGCTACTTCTTTTAAATTTTATCTTCACACTTTGTATCGTCACTGACATTAAGACAGCTATGTTTTGTTACTTCATATTGGAGGATGAAAAGGTGCTATAGAAAATACAATCTGGTTTAATAATGACATTAGCTGAATGAAAGAAAGACCATGCATAAAATTAAAAGGAAAAAAATCCCTATTTTACCCTATATATACATACATACAGTATCAATTATTTCAAAATGTTTAATAAGACTGCAACTGCTGTCTGAATACTGTATACACAATATAATAGTGTGCTGTAATTCTCAAGGTTAGAGAGAGTGCACAACAGTAATTAGTCAAGCATCAAACAAGAAAGCTCGAAGTTATTGAAAGCTAAGTGCTGGGCAAGCCTAGATACTTAGAGTACGACATGTGGTGCTCATGCCTAATGTGCCAACTCATCAGACCATGCCAGCCCAACTAACTGGGACAGTATTTTCCTATCTTTTCCAATGTGTTAGATGCACCACCTGTTCAAACTATTCCAGCCTAGCTAGTTAAGCCAGCTCTGATCGTAGTCCTAGGTCTATTGTGCCTGCTGCGCAAACCATGCAAGTAAAACCATCTTGGCCAATATTGCTTTATAATGCCCACTGCACCAGCTGTGCCAACTATTTTGTTCGTGTCAACTGCTTTCTGTGTCAGGTTTGCTAATTGTGACAGATGTGCTTGTTGTTCTAACCATGCCAGCTGCACCAGTGTTGCCAATAGTCTTTATATGACAGCTTTTTGTACCTGTGGCAGTGGGACAGCTGCTATTTCACCAATCATCTGCTTCCTTGTTTATTGTTCTCTATGCTTGGATCCCAAATGAATTCATTCTCAAACCATCCTAAGTGGCTGCAAAAAATACACACAGAGAAAAACAAAGTAGTCCTTGTCAAATGGAATGGATTTACACTCATCCATCTCCCCTGAAAGAAACATTATTTAACAAAACTCTACCTTTTTGCAAAGCATTCTGCACTCATTGCATCTTGAGTGCCCAGAGGTTTTCATTTTGTTATCAAAATGCAGACGTCTTTTGGGAAGGTTATGAAATAAATGCTGTGCAGATTCACAAGGATGTTACCAGAGATCATAGTTTTCAGTTACGAAGAGAGACTTTGGAAATCAGAGCTTTTTTCGAAAGAAATGAGCAGGAAATTCCGGTTAGGGATCACACATATCTTACCATGTGAAAAAAATGTGGAACAATTTTTTAAATGTTTTATGTACTGCTGCTCACAGTAATGTGTGTCCAGAAGAGTGGAAATCTTTGAAAGAAATAAAATCATTCACTGTACTAAAGCAGTACAGAAAATGATTCTTGGCCCATAAGAGAAAAGTACCACTTTTGTTCCAAATGCAAACAAAAAAATTGTGCTTGTATTTACACTGGGTATAAAACACATGAGCCCACTCTTACATTAGGTTGCTCTACATAAACCTACCCGGACTGTTTAATTGGGAAATAACTGTTATTTCTGATTTTATGGTTTGCTTATCGATCTTGAATTATGAAAATATTGACACATATAGACTGTTTTTTCTTAAAAATGGAGCATTGACAAAACAAATAAATATTCTGTACCTTTAATCTAACTCTCATTGTAAAAACAATCAGGCCAAAAGGAAATATTTTTCAAAGCACTTACACTTTGATGCTGTCACATAAATGTACCAGACACAGTTTGATATAACAATGTCATTTTCTGTTTTATATTTACACCCATATTTTCATTTTCCCTTTCCCATCTGTGTGTTGCTTATCAATTTATTTGTTGTTTTCTCCCTTCACAAACTTGACATAACTATATGTTTTACCTCTTTACTAATATGTTTAAAATAATGACATTTGTTTTATAATTTTTACATGTTTATGTACTTTTTTGCATACGACTATCATTGTATCCCTTGCTTATTTACCCTGTTTTCATATATTCGAACATTTTTATGTTGTCAATTATTTATACTGCATTTTCCCCTTTTGCCTCACCTCCTTTACCTCTTATTTAGCAACATTAAGGACATTCACTCCGCTCTGGAACTGACAGTTTATGATGAAGATCGGGATCGGACAGCTGATTTCCTGGGCAAAGTTGCCATACCTTTGTTATCTGTAAGTTCTATCTGGCTGACACATTGTTCGTTTTTCTTACTTAATAAAATTCCAGCGTATATGTCTGTCATTTCTCAACCAAGGTTTGCAGTAATAACGCTAAAATTCTAGCATGCCCAATCCATAGCCATGTTGAATCCCATGATAGTTAATTTTTTTGACAGATTTGGTCCTGGTAATGAACAGGTACTTGTCAGAGTTGCCACAGTTGTTTTGGGTTCTCTGTCAGTTTCAGCAGCTGGGGGTCAGGGGTCACTGGGGGAGTGTATTCAGCAGAGACTGAGAGACAGACGGCTGTCATGTCCTTTTCCCACAGATTCAAAATGGTGAAGAGAGAGCCTACGTCTTGAAAAACAAGAACCTGACAGGGCCAACAAAGGGGGTCATCTATCTTGAAATGGAAGTGATTTTTAATGTTGTAAGTCTTAACTTTGCCTTTTCATTTTGCCTAAGAGTTTCTTTCCTTTAGCCACGTAAATCTTTCTGGTAATTCTACACAGGGATCTTTTTTTAAAAACCTAAAAAAGCACTTTACTCTCTTCTGATTTGTTTTCATAGAGCACTGGTCTAAATGTAAGTGATTGCTTCCACAATCATGAGTTTGCCAAAGGGAATATTTTTACAATGAGGATAACACTGTTTTTCCTTTGTTCTCCTGTTCAGATAAAGGCCAGCATAAGAACGATAACTCCTAAAGAAGAGAAATACATTGAAGAGGAGCAAAGAATCTCAAAAGAGGTACATTTCTTGACCCAATATACTGGTTACAAATATTTTCACAATTAAAATATTGTTAATGAGTTTAGTTGTAAATTCTAAATATTCCTGTGAGTCCTTACCTTTCATGTCAATCTTACCTGCTCAGTGCAAAGTACAATGAATCATGTTTGTATTTGTCACCAAGTTTATTCACTTCTGGTTAAAAGGTTGAATGAACAAATAAATGCAAACACGATGTTTCATTAAGTCTTTGCTTAAAAATTGGTCATCAACATTTAAGCATATCAAAATTAGATATGCCAAAAATATAAGAAGGACATAAATTAACTGTGTAAAAAGGCTATTTTATTCAATAACAATAACAACTAATTCCATTTATATAATGCCTTTCAAGTTGGGAGGACATCCCAAGGCACTGGACAGTTAAGGGTTTGCACCTGAGCTTGGATTCAGATAGAGGTGGACGATCAAAAGAGGTGGAATGCAAGGCAGGTGGGGGTGGAAGGATAACTGAAGGAATGGTCAAAGAGGAAGGTCTTGAGATGGGCCTTGAAGGAGGCAAGGGAGAAGGCAAGGCGAAGGAATTCCAGGATGGAGTTCCAGAGAGTGGAGGCAAAAAGGCTGGAGCCCTGACCACCAATGGTGGGGTGGGCCGGGTGGGGGAGATGGAGTAGGCTAGTGCACACCGAGAGGAGGAAGCAGGCAGGTTGGTAAGGTTTAGCAGGTCGCAGAAGTAGGGAGGAGCAAGACCCTGGAGGGTTTTAAAAGTGACGTATTCAAAGGTAAAAACATATATTGTGTAGCTTTTAGGAACCTTAATCTTACACAAGGTCTTTACGGAAGAGACCCAGGAGAACTGAAACCTATCTAAATCAGGCTCTATAGTGGCTGAAGTGATAAAAGCAAACACTAACATGGAACTTTAGTTGATATTGACTACTTGAGAATTTTTCTTGAGTTGAATTTTTTGTGAGTCATTTCAATTTTGAAAATACATCACTATTGGGCTTAATGCATTCCCAGGTAACAATAATTCTGGTTCAAGGTGCTCTACATTTCACTAGATCAGAGAAGTTTTGGGTGAGGAAGACCCTTCAGCCAATTTGGTCACATTGTTCCAGCATAAATGCTTCATTACAGCATCAAGCTGTTTCTTAAATGACCCAATCCGTACCACCCTTCCTGATAAATCGTTCTAGTTTTTGATAGACTTTTTGTTGCCTGTCTGGAGTTTGTAACTTCCAATCTCCCAATCCCATTCAAACAGATGGATACATTCTTCCTTCTGCAAGGTGAGTAGCACAATCTTGGAGAGGGGAAAAAATCAGTGCCGGAGGAGGGACCTCTGGCTGAGGCTGAGGAAATAAGGCATAGAATGACATACTTTCCTAATTCTCTGATCTGCTCACACCCAACTTCTCTACCCACCACCTTTGCTCAGCTGGCAAGGTCTTGTGCACATCCCTCGTCTGCTCCGTTTCACAATTGGTGACCATGCTTTCAGACGCTATGCCCCAAATTTCTAGGAAACCCTGCCTCAATCCCTCCATCTTGTCCCCTCTTTGCCCATCTTTAAATTATACGTGAAGGCTTTCCTCTTCAACTATGCCTTTGGTCACCTCCCCCCTTTTCAACTCAGTCTCACGCCATTCTGCTGTTAAGTGCTCACTAGACGCTACCTGTGTGAAGGGCGCAATATAAATGCAAGTTGTTGTAGATTGATTAAATTAAGAAAATATGGCAATAAGAAACTTGAAAACTACTGATAATGGTTTATTTTATAAAACATAATCAAGCTAGTTAAAACAACTTTTTTTTAATCAAATAAATAAGAATGTTTATGGTAATGGGGCTTTTAAAATTGAAGTAAGAATCCAACACCATGATATTTAAGATAAAGATTTTGAGATCCTTACTCTTTCAAAGGTAATCAGAGTTTACCTACAGTATTAAGCAGAGCAATTTAAGTCAACCAATTCTTAATGCTATGCAATTCAAAGGTTAATATAAATGCCAGCTTCTAAAGCAGATTCATCCAGAGTGGAAGTATCATCTCTGTACACAAACACTCTCATATGACCATGTACTTTGGCAGGTCATTAATAAACAAGTTGAATAATAAACAACAACAACAACAACAACAAGATTCCATTTATAAAGGAATAATAAAGGACCTCAAATTAAGCCTAAGGGAACACTGCTTAATTTGAGCACCTCGTGTAGATAATCCACCATTTAAAACTACATGTGATATTTATTTTTTGGTGTATGATTTAATCTAGGAAATGTTTTCAGGATTGTAAGAAAATGATTTAATATTTGTGAGTAATAGTTTATGGTTCACTCTGTCAAATGCCACAACTATGTCAAGGAAGACTGAAACATCTAATAAGTTGAAATCAAAAATTGAGTAAATATGTTCAGAGAATCTTGTAAGAATTCTTTAATGTTAAGTAGTTAAATCTGAATCCTGATTGATTAACATTGATAGGGGAATCATATTTGAAACCATGAAGTTCCATGTTCTGAGCAAATATTTGTATAATCAGTTTTAAAATGTACTCCTCATAGTTACTTTTCTGTGTTTTTTTCCAAGGGACATTTTATTGTATGACTCAGGAGGGTTTTTTGTAACAAAAGCTGATATTTTCATTGATATAAAATCTCTTCAACAACAACTAGAAAAAGCAAAACAAAGTTGAGACGGGTACCGTTTGCAGATGGAATAGTGCCATTAAGTGATTAGGTTTGGATTTGTGCCCAATATTACATACATGGCTTATCTCAGTCCCTCTTGAACTGTAGGCCAGGAATATGTTGCTAGTGGTGTATGTTTCACCACTTATATCATATGTTTTTGGAGTTTTGATCAGCGTGATGAGTGGATCCTGCACTTTTTCACAGCCTCTGGAAGTAATCATGATTGTGATAATCTAAAGATATTAGTTCACGCACAAATAACCATTAATTATTTGGGGTAATTATTTCCACAGAGGGTGAGGGAAAATCAACCAGGGATCCCATTCCTGTTCACTATCTAGCAGTTCCTGTTGTAATGTATACAAACTAAAAACTTGCATTTATATAACACCCTTCACACAGGATAGTGTCTGGGGCACTGAAACTTGTGAATATCTAATGGTGATGAGATTGGGTTTGACTGGGATAACAATTGCATAGCCTGCCCAAACTGGCTGTTTAGCCTCAAATATAAATAGTGGAGCCCTGTTATAACACAGAGTTTAGAATCCATAACATTCCAACAAAGTGAATAACAAAACATGATAGCCAAGTTTCACTGTGTACTCGACAGGCTCCCTGTGTGCCACCGGTCAGATCATAGGTTACCATTGATGTCACTTCCTCTCTGTGGCATGTGCGCAAAGCAAGAAGTAACATTATCGGCAACCTGTTAGTTGGCACTAAAATTAGAGCGAAATGTTGACTAGTGAGTGGAAAATGAGCAGGCACATTGAACAGGATCCACAGTGCAACCAGGATATAACTAAATTTGCACCATAAAGAAGCAGGACATAATGGGATGAAGGAATAATTGACTGCTGTCCTATCAAAGTGCTTTGAAACATCCACCTAAGGTGAAAGACACCTTTCTGTTTCTTATGTCAGTCACCTTGTGGCCTCCAGAGTAAAGGTTCTAAATTAGTGCCACTTACAAATAATTTTGTCCTGTGGACTTGCATCCATTAGAAACGAGGTTGCCACTATTCCAGAATCAATTCACATAGATCCCCTGCAGCTGGTAAAGAGGATGATTTTTATCCCATCGACCTGAACTTGACACAAATCTAGACTTTCTGAGTGAATGGACACCCAGATATTCAAACCCTTTCATGTCCTTCCTGCTATCATTTGCTGTTCTGAACATTTTAGAGATAAATAGATATATACGAGGCCCCAAATTCCACCTAGTCTTAAGCTGTAAAGCATTTTGCTGTAAAATGTAAGATTTCGCTGAATTGTGGAAATTTGTCAAATTCTTAATTTAGGAGCCGGTTCCTTTAAAAAAATTATGGTAAACAGGTTTCCAGATTAATTTGAATATAAGAGTTTATAATAAAAAATATCCTTGCGTTTCATATAGTGCTTTTCACATCTTCTAAACATCTCAAAGCCCTTCACAGAATATACTGTAAACTGAATAGATTGTATATTTTGTGGGCGAAACGCCACAGCCAATTGCGCACAGTTCTAAATAATTTTTAATTTAAGACAAAATAGCCCTACTGGCTAACACTAAATGGGGTGCTTGGTGGAGTGACTATCAGATTGGTTATATCTTTCTTTGTATATTGTTATTGTTTATCCAATTTCTCGGTCTCCTTATTCAGTTGTCAGATTTTCTTACCAGTTTACTGGCTCTCCATCTATCTGAATTCCCTGAGGTTTGGCAACTCTGTGTATCTGTTTCAGTCCTCGGTCTAGTGGGATTGTGGAAAGTGTGGGAATGTTGTTCATCTATGGGCAATCGCAAAAGTTACAGAATAAGCAAAGGCAATGAGACAAAACATGATCAATGCATCCAGTTTCCCTGGCAGTGAAGTAACTATTGGTCTAGCCATCTGAGCACTTTGGTAGTTTAGTAGGTTTGATGGATCTAGCTTGCTTGGCAGGTTAGTAGGTCCAATGTATTTGTATTTCCCATAGTCATTTTCATGGTCATTTAATGGTTCAATCATGTTGCATTGGCTATGAATCTGTTCCAGTTTACTGGTAAACTAAAGATGCTGATGCAACCATGGTCTTTTGCCTAATGCATCTAGGTTTCCTGACAGTCCATTGGCTATGTGTTTGCCAACATATCATGGTGGTCCAGGGTATCAGGACCCAAATTTCTCATTACCTTTGGCTCAAGTACATTATCATAAAATTTATCATTTTGCAGAATTTTTTAAATCTCATTTCATTTGGAAATGGATTTTCCTCAGTTGTTTGTTAGAACTCTGAAAAATTGGCTTCTAAGTTATTATTATTTTTCGTGTTTCACAGAATTTTATTGT